GTAAATACAATCAAATAGAATAGAAGTAGTGCCATAGGAGTCTTTATACAAGTGGTACATCATTTGTAAGTTGTAAACAGGTGAATGTTACGGATGTTCTTAGTTCAGGTGTTTAACAGGAAAGGAATCCTAGATCTTTTTCACTCGTATCCTGCTGTCCTCTCATATTCTTCTATGTCGTTGCTCTCAGAAAATCCTGACGATGATCCCCACAGAGGAGGAGAAGCAGAAGATCCAGGAGGCCCAGCTGGCCAATCCTGACGTCCCGCTGGGCTCGGCTGAGCAGTTCCTCCTCACTCTGTCTTCCATCAGCGAGCTCTCTGCCAGACTCCAGCTCTGGGCCTTCAAGATGGACTACGAGACAATCCAGAAGGTCTGTGTCAACACGGGACAGTGCTGTTGTGATGAGATCAAACTAAAACTGCTCTCATGGATCTATAAGCTCAGACAGAATCCTTCCTAAAGCATTATAAATGATTAGTAGTTTGCGTGCAGTGTTCATTTTGAACTCTTAAAGGGATCCTCAACAGGCTTTGACTTATCAGCGAGCCATTATGTAGCAAAGCTGTCTGTTTCCTTGTATGATTTAATAAATATCAAATCTCAATAAACTCATAATAATCTGGTATGGGTTTATAGGGTTTATAGTAATTTAATTTGACCTTGATTGACGTGATACAAGTGCTTTCCAATGTATAACTATTTTATACAAATAAAATGTAGATACTTTTCATGTGTATGTAGAGAAAGGAAAGGCCAAACCAAACACATTTAAAATAAAATAAGCATGTTTTTTTGGTTTAATTCAAGAAGAAACAGAGATACATATACAAAGCCAAACAAACTCAGCACTCTAAAGCTTTGATTAAATGTGCAGAGCATGTGTGTGTGTGTGTGTGTGTGTGTGTGTGTGTGTGTGTGTGTGTGTGTGTGTGTGTGTGTGTGTGTGTGTGTGTGTGTGTGTGTGTGTGTGTGTGTGTGTGTGTGTGTGTGTGTGTGTGTGTGTGTGTGTGTGTGTGTGTGTGTGTGTGTCTTGTACCCGTGTCAGTGGGTATCAACATCCCTCTTAGTACAAAAACATCCGCGAAACATCAACATGGTTACATCATAACAAAATATGCACGCTTATTAGCGGTACCTCGTCTTAATCTTCCTCTGGAACGCATCCAGGAGGAGAAGTTCAAAGGGAAAAGCCAGAGAATGAAAAACACACCACTGTCCTGTACATTTTAGGGCTCTCTGCAGGACGCAGGTGTCTTTAATCTCCATGAAAAGCATCATTCCTGAGCGCGCTCTCGGTAGAACGGCGTTCCCGACTCTTCTCTGTGGGACGGATTGTTAGCGGGAGGCTTAATGGAGGGCAACGTACCGTGCAGGCACACAAAAACACACGCACATAGAAGCAACCTGCTGCTCAAAAACAAGATCTTCATATAATCAGAAGCACGTTTGGTAGTGAAGGGTGACCGCGATAGCAACCGGTTCATGACCTCAAACAAGCACCTGTTCAACCACTTTCATCACTGTGGACTCAAGGAACACATGTCTTAATTGACCCCCACTAATGATGTGCGTGTTTATGTGTGTGTTTGCCTTCTCTCAGGAAGTAGCAGAGCCGCTGCAGGATCTGAAGGAGGGTATGGAACAGCTGGAGAAGAACAAAACTCTCCGATACATCCTGGCCACTCTGCTCTCCATGGGGAACTTCCTCAACGGCACCAATGTGAGTCACGATCATTACTGGTTCATCACACTGGGACGTTATTACAAGCTTCTTTTGTCTGCAGCAGTAGTTTGTAGTAATTGTGGAGATGCTCAGTGATTTTAAGTGTAGATATTCTAAGCCTGTCATTTGTAGATTCAAAATGACATCCCATAGCTACTATAATTCACAGTGAGAACTAGGGCTGTGCAATTAATCGTATTTGAATCGCAATTACGATTTTGGCCTGCCACAATTACGAAAACAACATAATCGAAAAAAAGGATTATTTTGCTTTGCTAACATATTTGATCTAATTCATTTTAGTCTAATTTGTTTTTATTTATCATATTTATATATGTTTAGTAGCTTGTGGAAGTGCGCTCCAAAATATTGGTTGATCTTGTTTATTGGTATTTATTATTTTGATATTATTTATTTAAATGTATCATTTATTTAATTTACTTTTGTGTTGGTTTTTCAGTTGAATTATACGTTCAGAGTAATCAACAGTTAAAAAACATGCTGTTCAAATAATTATTTGTTTTAAAGTTGAACAAAGGGATGTTTTCAAAGTCAATGAATAATCGTATTTAATAATCGTGATATCAATTATTGACCAAAATAATCGTGATCATGATTTTTGCCATAATCGAGCAGCCCTAGTGAGAACACAGTGTACCTTTATTTATATCAGTACTCCAGATGTATTCTTTACTCAGTTCTGTTTCTTTGGCTTTGTGTCCAGGCTAAAGGCTTCGAGTTGACATATTTGGAGAAGGTTTCCGAGGTGAAGGACACAGTTCATAAGCAGTCTCTGCTGCATCACGCCTGCTCCGTGGTGGTGGAGAACTTCCCTCAGAGCACCGACCTGTACTCTGAGATTGGGGCCATCACACGATCTGCAAAGGTACGCTCAGCTCTCACTAAAGGAAATCTTGTTTTTAGACTATTTTGCATCCCTGCACTGTAAAAGCTTTTCAATTTGGTTCAATTTAGATGCATTAAGCTTCCTTTGCTGCCTTAAAATGTGAGTCTAAACTCTAAACTTCAAAGTGTTCTCACTAGTTCTTAAGTAAAAATGCTTCAAACAAGCCATTTTAAGTACGACAACATTCCAAAAAAGTGAAATGAAATTGTAATCATCAGTAAATGTTAAGGCAAAAACTTCTGATTAACTTCCAAGTTTGAAGAGTTGATTCCTCACTCATTTTTTTTAAAAGGTATGGACTGAAGAGGATCCCTTCACCACGAATAGCAATGTGTGTTTGTTTTTATCAGAGGAAACAACACACTTGAGGGGTTTTTGGCGTGATGTACCTCTTAAACAATGGATGACATGAAGCCAATATGCTAATCATGCCTATTGTTATACATACAGTACACTCAAACAATTATTTCAAGTCAAAATAACTTTAGTTAAGAAGTTCTGAAAATTGGGAAACATTTCAACAAGAAACACAAAAAAGTTACAGATAGTTACTTAGAGTACCTACATTTTTAGTTTTTTTAAAATAAACTTCCCTTTAAAAGTCCCTTGTATGAACATCTGTCCCGCCAGGTGGATTTCGACCAGCTGCAGGAGAACCTGTGTCAGATGGAGCGGCGCTGCAAAGCCTCATGGGACCACCTGAAGGTGATCGCCAAGCACGAGATGAAGCCTCAGCTGAAGCAAAAGATGTCTGACTTCCTCAAAGACTGCGCTGAGAGGATCATCATCCTCAAGATAGTCCACCGCAGGATCATCAACAGGTACCTCTCCTCCTCCATTCAACTAGACACAACCTTTACATCCGATACTGACTCACCTTTTCATTGATTACGAAATTCAGAAGTGAAAAGCTTATTGATATGCTACTGTTACTTAAAGACGAGGACCACAGGAGTGTTTAGTGGAGCTAAAAGGATCCTCTTACACACAATACAACTAAAACTATATAAAACCCCACTAGAGGCACTTACAATGTCCACAAAGACACATAAAACCACCATAAAGAGACTCAAAATGACTACCGTAATTTTCGGACTATAAGGCGCACCTGAATATAAGCCGCAGCAGCTAAATTGAATGATGTGTACATATATAAGCCGCACTGGACTATAAGCCGCAGGTGTTTTAATGTTTAATTACCATATGTAAGGGTTCGTGCACAGAGGGGATTGTCGGGAAAGAGAGGGCTGTTTGAGGAAGCTCCCATTTATTAACATTTCAACAAACAAGTTGCATATTTGCATAACGTATTCAAGTGTTACCATTTAGTGCAATAGTAGCTACAGAACATGTACTGTGCTGTGTAAACTGTACTGTATCACATAGCGTTTCAGACACACAAACTTTTCAACTTTCAAACTTAAACGGTGCGCTCCCAGCGCACGTACCGGCAGTGATCTACAGCAGCGGTTTTCAACCAGTGGTACGGGGACAAACTGTCTCGCTCTCGTAATGTCTGTCTGTCTTGCTCTCGTTCTGTCTCTCGTACCACTCTCGGTTCCACTTTTACTTTTGCGCGCTACCTGTCTCACTCTTTTCCGGCCTCCAGCTTTTCCTG